GTATGAGAAACGGTTCCATACAGCTCCTGCAAAAGCTGCGACTGAGCAACTCACCTGGAGAGTTCTGAGGCGAAGACACCGGCGAGCCTCTCGGGGACTGGCAATAACTAGGATGAAGTAAGGCATGTGGCGGCACATACGACATTATCTCCTCCTCAAACAAGCTGGTAAAAAGGAGCAAATGAGAAATAAAGTATTTATTTGAATGAATGGCATTTTTCACCTTCTAGTGAATAAACCTCTAGTTACTAGCCTGCTTTCTTTCCACTATGCACAGTTAGAGGAGAGTGCTGCAAAATATTCTATTGCCATTCCCTCAATCAGATCTTGAAAGTTATTAGATACCAGTAATTGCTACTTTCATGGAACATCACTATACGTAACGTGGTATTTGTTTTCAAGGTTAAAATATAGTTAATCAGCCTTTAAAATTTGCCTTTTTTTTTTTTTTTTTTAAATTTGTGTTCTCATTACAAACGGGTCAATAACCTTAGTCACACCTTCCTGGAAAAAGATCTGCAATACTGCACAAAGACCAGGAACAGAGACAAATATTCTAAGCCTCCAGGATTAAGAATCACCTTTGAGCTTGTTGAGTATATTGAATAATAAGCTTGTTGGCATAACAAGTTATTTCCTTATTTAATGCTAACACTATTGCTGAAACGGCTATCATATCTAGACTGCTCAAGTAGAGTTATTTCATTCCTCATCTATTACTGCTACACAACTTAAGAGAAAAATAATAAAGATTTTGCAGCCTAATCACTGCATTTGTATATGTATTAAAATGTCAGTCTTTTCCCAAAATTGACACAAGCAAATGTCAAAAAAAGACAGAATATCTAATAGCAGAACGGGTCTGATATCAAAGCCCACATCCGATGTTAAACAGATAAAAATAAACTGTTGAGATGATATGTAAAATTTATTTTCAAAAATGGAGCTACAGTAAGAATTGCAAGCCAATCTTTATTAATATAGAGCTCAACCAATGAAAGTAATGTTCATATAAAAGATGTTTTTACTAAGTTTTTTTCACTGAACAAACACCTAGAAAATTTTTTTGCATTAGGTGCTTTTTGGAACAAGTATTTTCTGACAGTTCTTTTTACATTCATGACCATGCGTTGTTTTCCTCCAAGTTACGTTTTGATGCTGAAAACATGATAAAATATAAACCACTACTTCAATCTTGGATTAAATTAGGAGTTACGATGACGATTTGTGTTGTATACCAAACAACATGTTTGGAAGAAGAAACTGAAAAATATTTTGTTCTTAACACCTGAACCATAATATAATGCCATTTATAAGAGTATTTTTAAAAACGTGATGCACTGTATCTCCTTCAGTCCCTAAAGACATAGGAGTTTGTTGGTCCGTTTGTTTTTAGTTAGCCGCAACTTTATATTTACTGCAGCATGAGAAAAAACGTACAGTGTTACCAAGCCATAAAAATATCAGAATAGTGATTCCACCCAGTTATTACTAGATCTCAAGAGTGCTTTAGAGGAAAATGATATCATTCCCATGAAATGAAGAAACAGAAGCATGGAAATGGGTACAGTCTTCGCCAAGGTCATCCAACCAGCCACGTTAGATACAGAACCCGGGTGTTCTGAGCCCTGAGAAGACCGAGTCATCATGACTACGGTGCAGTTTTTTCAGAGTTTCATAGAGAAGGGTCATGATGACACCCTGTTAGAAGATACTGTTAAAAATAAAAACCCACCAAGACTAAATAATTGTAAGAAAAAGAAATTTCAAAATCTCAGTATACCACTATTTGAACTTAGCCCACCTTTAGTTTTATACCAGTATTTACTCACAATAACTTAGTCCAGTCTTGCGGTATAACATTCAGCATTTTAAGAAACTAATAGATGCGTAGGTAACATTTTATCGATAATGTGTCCTTGGTGCAATGCTACTATTAGATTATTAAGTCAAGTGGCAAGAAAATCTTAAAGCAATGCTTTTTGGTTAGATATTTTGGGGGGAAAGAAGTAGATTAAGAGAAATAAAGTCTGAAAAAACATGATAAAGTTATTCTAGGGAGAAATTTGCTTTATTTCTACAGTAAGAATTATTTGCAGTTTTTGTTGTTAACAGAACACTAGAGGGGAAAAAAAATCCAGTCAAAGAGCCATGATAAAATCATTCATGCAATCTTTGTTTAAAAACAAATAGCTGAAGCCAGATTTTTCTGTGTAAATTGTGTGTCATCTCCATGTGTTATATATTAAAATAAAAACCTTAAAATGTTTTTTGAGAAACAATATTCTCATTTTAGTAAAGCTTCAGCATGGCTTTAAAATGGGATTTATCTTTTTTTTTTATAGCTGTAGTTAATTCAGAGATTTAGCGACCAGAAAGGATTATCATTATTCAGCCTGACCTCAAAATACCACCACTAATGCCAATCCTATTTCACTAGATTAAATTTTAAACGAACTCGTGAATTTCTTGATGCACTTTTGCAATGGATGAGAATACAACATGAAGATACAAGGGTTTAATTCTAGGAAAAGATCTGCCTGATTTTTTGAGTTAATTGTGAAAAACATTAAAGAAGCAGCTTCCCATTTCTTGAACTCTGTAACAGTTATTTCCTTTATCCAAGGGAACAACACTTGACAGCATAGTGAAGAGGCAGCAAGACATTAAGTAATAAAAACACATCTCAAGTACTAAAATTCACAAATACAGACTTCCCAAACCACGGAACTAAACAGTCACATTCCTGAAGCAGTAGAAGGCACATTCTTGCAAAGAGGTCTAAACTGTACCACCTATCCGAACGTCAGAGCTGGATGCAACAAGACAATAAAACATGGTCTGGGCAAACCCATATCAATGACAAGCACAGCACTCTTGCTCTCACCTTTCCTCAGATAATCACATTCCATCACTCCTATGAAAAAACGTGACCTCCAAAAACCATCTAGAAACTGGATATGATGAAAATAAAAAAATCTGACCCTTCACTTGTAGCTCTCCCAGCTACAAGTCCAAGTACTGAAGGGGAATTGATTAGGTCACTCAATCAGCACACACTACTCACTGAAAAGCTCCTCAGCAGCTGCCGCAGTATATTCCATACGTGCACGGAAAGCAGCTGTGCCTACCTGAGTAACATGACAAGGTCTGCATCACTGGATAAACGCACCAACCCAGGTGTTCCCTCTGTCCGGATGAACTGGATCTTCTCCCTGTGTAAGCAAAAAAAGGACTTGCAGAATATCTTTTCCAAATAAGGTACCAGTGTAAACCACAGCAACAAGAAAAGTACATAATATATCATAAAAACCTCTGGGTTATGCTTCTGTATTTCAGGAACTATTTTTTTCCCTGCCATACCATGCCCATGTAAGCAGCAAAATATTACAACCAAAAAGTTCATTTGTTCTGAGGAATGATTCTCCTGTTGCCCTCATCTCTTCAATGCTCAGGCTGCTTCAGGTATACAGCCATCCAACCAGTAAAAAAAAAAAAAAAAAAATCAGTCCTTCAAGTTCACGCTACCTCTGTCCCTCAATCCAAAGTACGAGGCTGAGCGCTGCAGGAGGACATTACTATTCTGAAAGTGAACTGTTTACAGAGGTACTGTCTTTTTTCAACCTTTGTACAAATGCGAGACGTGCATTATGATCCACACTTGTGATTTTAAAAGCCGCGTTTTCGTAACGTACTGCATTTAAGAGATCTTCCAAAAAAAACCTGTGTACTGTTTCTCCCCCTCTGTCTCACCCAAGCGTGCGCCATTCCTCCCAGACCCAGTTTGCTCACTATGGAATCTATGCATCGTAAACTCTGAGCATGGTAACATACAGATTTTTAGGATCTATATCGAATATAATTCCTTGGCTGATTTCTATTCTTTTTCTCCATAGAGTTTTTTCCTGCATTCTAAAATGGAAGCACACCCCTTTTATTTTCTTTCTATCTGTATATGATGGTACAGTAGAGGTAAATTCTAATTTGACTTTAGTTTTTGGGAGGAAAACTAAAAACAAGCCTGTGTAGTAAAAACTGTCCCAATGCCAAAGGAGAGAAACCCCAAACAAACAGAAAAATAAAGAACTCCATATTAGAAGAGCAGCATTGGCTCAGCTCAGAGGTCCATCTACCCCACTGTCCCACCACCAACAGTGACAAGAAGGTCAAGAACGACGGGTGCGACTGGCGCTGTTTGAAGGTTGCTGGCAGCCGCTCACGGTTTAAGCTGCACAATGAATTTCTGGAACACATCATTTCATGCACAGCAGTTTCAACAAAAGGCATCAAACCAAATCTCTTGCCATCTGTCTCTAAGATCACAGTGCACAAAGACCTTCTCAAACAGTGGACCTAACGTACGCTCCCTGGTAACTTGCACCACATTTACAGCATATTCACGGGTGCAAGAGAGGCACAGGCAGGCTGTGCCCCGAGCCCCCCAGTCCCTGCTTGCCAGGGTGGCGGTTGTGGATGTGGCAGGAGTGTGCAATTCGGTGTTTCTCTGTGAAGAGAGGTACTGAAAGTCAAGCACCCGCCTTGCCAACATCGATGGCAAGATTTGAGGAAAGAAATGGCGGATTAGAAAACATATCTTAGCATTTAGTTGGCAGCAGCACCAGAAAGCAGAAGGACGTTTTCCGGGTTGACTGAAGTATGCAGCCCTCCAAACGAATGCAGTCTGTGACTTCCTGGGGTTACTAATGATGGCTGTGAATTCAATGATAGTTTTTTTAATATATGCCTTTTACATTCTGTTAAGACATACATTATGTTTAATGTATAATAGATGCCTTTGCCTGAAGCCTTTTACATTATTGTAATGTACTTTATTTCATTGTGTATTTTAACAGACCCTCAGCTTATCACATCTCTTCATTCTTTTTAGGAATGAGAAATTTAGATAGAAATTAGAGACCTTTTCAAATGATCTCTGTCCCCTTCCACTGGTTAAATACTGATTTTCCTCCTCACCTATGTAATAATTATAATAAAAAAGTAATAATAATATTATGGCTTTACTAGGGGCAAATCCTGCCTGACCAATTTGGTGAGCTTCTATGATGAGGTTACAGCATTGATGGATAAGGGAAGAGCAACTGACATCATCTACCTGGACTTGTCCAAAGCATTTGATACTGACCCACACGACATCCTTGTCTCAAAACTAGAGAGTCATGGATTTGACGGATGGGCCACTCGGTGGATAAGGAATTGGCTGGATGGTGCATCCGTGGGTCCTGAGGGAGCTGATGGATGAAGTTGCTAAGCCACTATCCATCATATTTCAGAAGTCGTGGCAATCTGTTGAAGTTCCCAATGACTGGAAAAGTGGAAACATAGCCCCCATTTTTAAAAAGGGAAAAAAAGAAGACCGAAAGAACTACAGGCCAGTCAGTCTCACCTCTGCGCCCAGCAAGATCATGGAGCAGATCCTCCTGGCGACTATGCTAAGGCACATAGAAAATAAGGAGGTGATTGGTGACAGCCAACACAGCTTCACTAAGGGAAATCCTGCCTGACTAATTTGGTGGCCTTCTATGATGAGGTTACGGCATTGATGGATAGGGGAAGAGCAACTGACATCGTCTACCTGGACTTATCCAAAGCATTTGATACTGTCCCACACGACATCCTTGTCTCTAAACTGGAAACACATGGTTTTGATGGATGGACCACTCGGTGGATAAGGAATTGGCTGGATGGTCACACTCAAAGAGTTGTGGTCAACGGTTCAATGTCCAAGTGGAGGCTGGTGACAAGTAGTGTTCCCCAGGGGTAAGTACTGGGGCCAGTGCTATTTAACATCTTTGTTGGAGACATGGACAGTGGGATTGAGTGCACCCTCAGCAAGTTTGCAGATGACACCAAGTTGTGTGGTGTTGTGGA